GGCGCGCTGCCTGTGCTGGTGGTTGTGCCTGAGGTGCCTGTAGGGCCTGACGTGCTGGTCCCCGACCGGGTGGGTTAGCCGCAGGTGTCGCGACCGGTGGTGGGGTTGGTGCTTGCGTCGGCGTGTGTGTTGTTGGTGGCGTTGGCACGGGGTGTTGTGGTGCGGCTGGGCAGCAGGCTGCAATGAAGCCAGTACTCCATTCACGGTGGTGCGTTAGGCCTGAGCAGCGCTTTAGGTGGCACCAATTGTTGCATGCGTTGCACCTAACCGATGTTGTGTTGCGCCTTATCAGGTTGGTGCAAACGCTGCAGAACCATCTGTCCTGGGTGGATGTCCTGTGTTGCGTGCTTGTGGCTGGTCCACTGGTTGATGGTTGGGCGGGTGTTGGCTGTGTGGAGTTACAGGTTTGTTGGTTGTTGCAGCACGATGCAACAAAATTGTTACTCCACTCCCTGTGGTGCCGAAGACCTGAGCATGCCTTTAGATGGCACCAGGCGTTGCAGTGGTTGCAGCGGACAGAGGTTGAGGAGTGGTGTATGTTGCGGTGGCAAACACTACAGATCCAGGGGCCGGGATTTTGTTCTATGCCGGCGCGGACCAGTAGTATACGGAGCAGACTTGCCGGTGGGTCATGCTCCCATGGCAAAAAATTTGGGGGGTTGCTGCTGTGGTGATGGTCCTTGGTCGGAGTGAGTTATCCGAGTCAATCCGGTACGTAGAACCGACCATCTTGGGATTGACACGATAGGTCAACTGCAATAGCGAAGTGTGAACGAGTTCACACGGAATGAAAATTCATGATAAGGCTAAAAATTGCAGTAAGATTTGATATCAACAAACAACCGTCGGTGAATAGTACAATCGCACTGTTAATATAAGGAATTAATCCAAACTCATGATTTTAGATAAGACCTCAATATGCCTATGACTATGGCTGGATCCTGACATATTTCTGCTTTCTTGTCTGAGGCAGAATTTGTTGGGTTGTAGTTGAGAGCAAATAAACAAAATATTAAAAAACCGAAATTTCTAGGTGTGTAATCATATCTGGCAAGTTTAAGCGTAACCTACGAATTGCTAGGTTGCACATCTAATGTGAATAAAGTAATATGTGATTTAATAAACTTTTGTAATGGGCATGCTAAATTGATTTTCAATCTAATATGTTGGTCGAGCAAATAAATACTCGGCATTGAATTGAGAGTTGAATTGAATTTTCAAATTCTGTGTTGTGTGGCAACCAGTGAGAGGGTGTCGTTTATTGCATGCAAAAGAAATGTTTGCAGCAAGATCTTGAATGGTCATTAGACTGGGTTCGAAAATAAGTTTGCAATGCTAAATGGTGACATAAAAATTATTATTTCGCTAGTGGGATACTAATTTGCTCTACATGTGAAAACTAGAGTTTTTTGCACGTATGTGTGTAGATGCAGTGGACTGTATGTTGGTTTGCGGGTTTAGTAGTGGAATCCTTTAGGTTTTGAAGAAGTGGAATTTCC